CCAGTGTCGTCCCTCAGAGAGAGATGAGCCCTTTCACTTTTTCCGGGCAGGTTCCTCTCATCCCTAATAAGGGAGGAGAGGGCCTGACACCTTTTTCAAAGTGATTTCCTCCTTCCTCTGAAACAGCCAAAAGTTTCACCACAGTGGAGGAAGGAAGGAAGTCCGCCCCTTTACGTGGAAGCCGTTCAGCCTCCAGTGAGGGAGAGAGAAGCTGCCTTTCGAGGTGGTTCCAGTGGCGGGACAAAAGGTACGTTGTAGAGCCGGTGTAGGTGTGAACACCTGGGGGAGAGACAGAGGGGATGTTCTTCCACCTACTGAAATCATTGTTTGGAACCCTGTGCTCATCCTCAGAAGCAATCAACCAATGGTTGCTGCTTCTCCACCAAGAGGGATGGAGCTCTTTCACTTTTTCCAGCTGTTTCTCTCACAACCCTGGCGAGGGGATGAGGGGTAAGCCTTTTTCAAGTTGAATCCTCCTTTCTCTGAAAAACCAGAGATGGTTACCACACTGAGAAAGGAGGAGGCCTGCGCCTTTACAAGGAAGCTTGGCGCCTCAGAAGCAGCCAGTCAAGGCTGCTCACACATTGAGGGAGAGAAGCTAACTTTTTTCAAGGCGGTTCCAGTGGCGGCTAAATAAGGCAGTGGTCTGTCTGCAGCACGCTTATTCAGCGATTTGACAGAGCTAATGCCAAAGGGGAGGGTCTATCCTGCCTATCACCCTAAACGGAATTACAAATGGTCAGTCAGAACATGGTATGCAAGAACATCCCTAGCAAAAAAGATGGCAACTCTCTGTGCACCGTAAGGCAGGGCGCTAAGGTGCCCCCAAGACACACCCTCCCCTGCGGGAGGTAAAGTTGCCCAGTCCGAGCAAAGAGCCGAAGAGGGGTTCCAGTTCACAAGAAAGGTGCAAAGAGAGTCATTCCTAATGCCGAAAAAATCCGTAAAGGAAAGAGTAGGCCTATAGGGCACGAAGTAGATGCAAGACAAATAATTCGTGGCAGCAACGAGGGCGGGCGCCGAGGCGCCCGGCAACAAGTAGGAGCCGACCTGATGTTGCCGAGGGGTGGCTCCAGTCGATCTCTTTAAAAACATCTCTTTAAAACACCATCGGACACAAAGTTCCGTCAATCAGGCATCACGGTGACCCACCTTTGTAGCCTTCGCATGGCGTGGCTGCACCGCGGTTACTCCGGGATCACGGTGACTTCTGGCGTTCGGCATGAGGTGCGGCCCGTTCGGGCGGTTTTACGGCTCAACGGGGGCCTATCTTCGCGTTACAGGGGGCCCGGTGCCACCTGCTGCGCCCGTCGGTCTCGCCGCACAATCCTCCCTTTCACTCTGAAATAGCCAGGGGAGGCTACTTCAATGCAGGAGAGAAGAGAGGAGGGTCCTTCCAAGTCTAATCCTGTGGCTGGAATGAACGAAAAACCCCATACGAAATTTCCTTTTATAGTGCGTCACTAGCGCCAGACTCGGCTTGGGAAACAGACGACTAGCCCATGCTATTGGCTCAAGCTGAGGAAACCCGCGTTGCCCACATAGTCCAACCGGACCGGTTCATCAGGAGGCACCTATAAAAGCCAAGCTTTTCGCTGGGTATCGTGGAGGGCTCTCAGGGACCTTGTAGGTCCCAAGGTTTTTGCGTGGGTTTTTTCGTTAAAGAGAAATTTGACACCCCACGCAAGGCGACCTTGGCTCTCTTGTGTGCTAACCTGTGTGTTATCACGCTTACCCTGCTTTGGAGCTAGTGTTTTAATTGTAGGCCAGAGCGCTTACAATTAAAACACGAAGCACTGTGGTAATTGATAGTTTTACTGCGAGGTGTCGGCCGAGCATATAAGGACTCTGTCCAGCTCGGCAGGGTTGACCCCCGACCGGCCCTAACACATAAAGACTGTCAATTACCCAGTGTGCCTCCCTTTTTTGATTACCATTTTCACCATTGCTCGTCCAGTCAAATTAGCCCTGCTAGACTTCACCCCATCTCCCATCATCATCACCCTTACGCTATGCCACCATGGGTCATGTTATCAAATTAACATATTCTGGGGAGCCCATCTCTTGTGAGGTGGCTCTCCAGAAAATCTTCGAGATCACCGAGGTAGCCGTTACGCACTGCTTTCAAGTACATAATGGTTATAAGGTTGCAGTTGCCAAGTCCGAACAAATGACCCCTTTTCTCTCCTCATCCGGCCAAAGAAAACTCGCTGCTCACGGCTTCAAACCCATTCCCTCCCCTGAAACGAAGGCTAAATGCACGGTCGTGGCTAAAAAGATCGACAAGACAATCCTGCCACGATCGTGCGAGGCCATTCAGGCGGAAATTTCAGCTAAGAATGATGTCACTGTAGTCGAAATTTATAAACCTCCCGAATCACGGATCGTCAAAATCCGTTGCTCATCGCCTGAAGAGGCGCAGAAACTCATTTCTCGTGGGATTGTGATGTTCAACACGTCCGTCCCCACCTATAACATTGAACCAGAATGCTTTATCCCGATTGATCAATGCCTGAAGTGCTACAGATACAATCATAAAAAACACCAATGCACACACGAACAAAGGTGCAGCCGTTGTGGCGAAGTTGGTCACTTCTTTGCCACCTGCAACAGGCCGACCAAATGTTGCAATTGTGGGGGGCAGCACGTCGCCGTCAGCGGGTCTTGCCCCACACGAAAAGACATTCTGAAGACTAAAAGACAAGCACTAAAACAAACCACTAACCCAACATACGCCTCAACAGTTCAACCACCTCTACAAACATCTACACCCATCACTACAAGACCAACCACGATTCCCCCGAGAACCTCAATGCCTCCTCCTCCACTACACGTCCTCCTTGCCAACACCTTCACACCGGACACCAACATAAAAATACAAACCATACTACACGTAGCTTTGATAGCTGCCAAAAACAACCCAGACAGATTCATAAACATTGTCCCAAAACTTCTACAAGCAAACAACCTCCCCAACATTGAGATTCCCAGGGAAATCTTTGAAGACACAAACCAAGACACTCTTGAACCTCACTCACAAACAAACACAAACACCGAAGGTAGACCGGCGCCCACCACACAACCACAGCCCTCTACCTCACGCGCACACGCACTCCCACAATCACAACCACAACGACAGCCAAGATCAGACTCACAAAAAAATACTACAAAAAACACAAATGAACACAAACGCAAACTACAATCACCACTTAACAAGCACATAAAGAAAGACAAGAAAGACCCACTGCCCCCGGAGACCACCCCTCGTCGTCACCATGATGACACCATCCTTGACTCTGATAGTGAGGATAGCCTCTCAATCGGCCTCGCTGAGGTCGAAGCTGGGGCTACCTCGCTACCTGCCCCCCTTAGGGACGCAGACTCGGTTCTCCCGACCAGGGGGAACCTCGGGGGACGTGGAAGCATCGGGAACTGGTCCGCCGATTCCCGAGAATTCCACGTCTCCCATTCTCGGGAGTCCCTCCCGGACCTCGAGGGGGCTGCGGCCCGGACTCGTCCGCGCCCGCGGTTCCGGGAGCAGCAAACGCCACACAAAGTAGGTCAGCGTCAGCTTGACCTACCCTAGTGGCGTGCTGACCCCTTGATGTGATGCCTCCCACGCCAAGCTGCACCTGTTCAAAGCCACAACACACCCACTCTCACACACACCGCACCTACACTCTCACGACATACAAACGCACACAGACACAGATCAATCAGAATAGAGCATCCAATGGATTTATGTTATGGGCTGAGGACTACTGTAGTCCTCACAATATCACGAGAAATGCTTCTGTGCCTCTCCCTGGCGCTGGAGGTTATGTAAACAACAACTACAAACTTCGTGTTTTGGTTGCCCGTCTGAATGACCGCGCCTTCTTCAGGAGAAGAAGGGACGCCCTAGCCGCGATGTCTTCTCTCGCCGGACCGAGGCTACGAATAGGAGCCAGTTCTTGGCTTGGCAGCATCATCCTTTCCTTATGTACTCCTCACACTTCCTTCATGTCTTTCACACCTCCTCCTCCTTTTGTTATATTCAATTTTAAAATTTTTACACTTTTTATTAAATTTTAAGTTAAGAAAGCTTCGGCACTTTTTACTATAAACTCGGCACCAGCGCTCCCCACGGCTCGGCCAATAGCGCGCCAGCGCGATTGTTGCCGGGTCTCGCGAGCGCGGGTGTCGAGCAGCGTAAATTTGCTGCCATCCTTTTAAGCTTTTAATCTTGTTTGTGTTCTTGTGTTTAATTTTACCATGTTTTTTTACGTTCGTTTTAATGTTTTACTGTTCTTGTTTTATACCCTTAGCTCTTAGTTATGTTTTTATGGTGGTTGTTTCTCCAAAACAATCTTTTTAAAACTCATAAATAAATTAACACCTCTAAGAGAGCCCTATCCCGCCCTTTTAACTCCCTTCCCCCCCCCCTCTCTCTCTTCCGTGCGTAACCTCAACCTCACCCACGCCCCATCTCATCATCCTCACATAGCGTAAGCGTCCCACATCCTAATCCTTACCTCCATCTCACTGGTTCCGGATGCCGACACGTGACATCTGCCGCCTGCACCCTACTATGATCGCGGCTCCTTTGTTGCAAGGAGTGTCAACGCGGGAGTGGGGGAGGAGATGTCACGGCCAGTGTTGATAATCCAAGCGTGGTGAGATCGCCAGAGCACGTCTCCCTGGAAGTCCTGCCGCCGACAGAGAGAAATCTCTGCTCGACGCGGGCGAGGGAGACAGCCTCTGATCTGCGATCTCACTCGTATTTCATCCTCACAGTCTCCCGGTTAGCCGAGGGCGCTACCGTTGTCATGGGCGAGTAGCCCGTGCACGGTAAGGGCCCCGATGGCGCCTGGCAGGCCTCCCCATACCTCTCCCAACCTCCCTCGTTAGCCGAGTGCGCGCCGCAGCCCGGGCATGGGGTCTCGCTGACGCGTGAATTCGTTCACGCCAAGCGGGCCTCCCTAATGCCCGGGCCACGCAAACACAGATGGCGCGGGGCCTCCCACTCCAGCCTTTATCCTCCTTTCCTCCTCCATGTCAGCTATGCCCCCAACTTTTACCCCGCAGGTTGGGTTAAGCCCCGACTCTTTTTTCTCCTACTAAATCATCTTTTCGATCCCCCCCTTTATCCTTCCCCTCTCCCGCCTTCCTTCCCCCCGGCAACGGGTCTTTTCTCTTTTAACTTTTATCCTTTTTATCCTTGGGGTATCGTGATTTTTGAATCTTTTGAGCAAAGTCATATCAAACCATCATCATCAGTCTGGTCGTGGTAAGGGTGGTAAGGTAAAGGGCAAGTCAAAGTCCCGCTCAAGCAGGGCCGGCCTTCAGTTCCCCGTAGGTAGGATTCACCGCCTTCTGCGTAAGGGCAACTATGCCGAGAGAGTGGGTGCTGGAGCACCTGTGTACCTCGCTGCCGTCATGGAATACCTGGCTGCTGAAGTACTAGAGTTGGCAGGTAATGCTGCCCGTGACAACAAGAAGACCCGTATCATCCCCCGTCACTTGCAGCTGGCCATCCGTAACGACGAAGAGCTCAACAAGCTCCTGTCTGGCGTGACCATCGCCCAGGGTGGTGTCCTGCCCAACATCCAGGCTGTGCTCCTCCCCAAGAAGACTGAGGAAGAAGTAAATACTTTGCGTATTACCTCATCTCAACAACATCGGCTCCTTTAGGAGCCACAAAGGACTGATAAAAGAGAAAAAAATTGACAACCAAATCAATGGCCATGGATGACTGACTGCCATGTCATATAAACCAATAAACAAAGGTAATGACTGTACTAGTAGAACCAACAAATCAATCAATCAA